CGATTTTTCATTTTTTAATTGTTCAACAAAGGACAAATTTATTCAAACTGAACTTTTGAAAAACCGAAAAATTCTAACACTGAAACATCAAAAACAAAATAATTAAACATCGAGAAATTTAAAAAATCAACAAAAAGAAACAATTTTTCAGTTTTTCGATATAAAATTTTTCAAATTCTCAATTTTTAATTCCTTGTTTTCTCGATTTGTCATTTTTTTAATTGTTCAACAAAAGGACAAATTTATTCAAACCGAAATTTTGAAAAGTTTAAAACTTTAAAAATCAGAAAATCGTTACACTGAAACGTCTAAAAATTATCAAATTGAAAAATCAAAAAAATTAAAACTTGAGAAGTGGAACAATTGAAAAAACCGAAAAAATGAGAATCTAAAATTGAAAAATGAAACTAGAAATATGGAAAAATTTTAAAATTGAAAAATCGAAAAATTGTAATATAGAAACCTGAAAACCCTGATTAATTGAAAACCGAAAATTTGAAAAACTGAAAAAACGAAAAAAAATCTATAAATTAAATAATCGAAAATACAAAAATTTTTAATTTCAAAATCCAAAGATTTTAAAATGAAACTTGAAATATCGAAAAATTGAAAAATCGAAAAACGAAAAAATTGAGGAATTGAATTGGATAATTGAAAAATCGAAAAAAATATCGAAACTTTAAAACCCTAATTAATAAAAAATCGACAAATTGAAAAATCGACAAAACGGAGCAATTCTGCAATTTTTCGATATAAAAATTTTCAAATTCTGAATTTTTAATTTTTCATTTTCTCGATTTTTCATTTTGTAATTGTTCAAGAAAGGACAAATTTATTCAATCCGAAATTTTGAATTGAATTGAAAAATCAAAAATTGAGAAATCGAAGAATTGAAAAAATAAAAAAAACTTGAAAAAACCGAAAAGAATGAGACTTAAAAACTGAAAAATGAAATTTGAAATATCGAAAAATTTAAAAATTGAAAAATCGAAAAATGAAAAAAAATGAAAAATTGAACAATGGGATAATCGAAAAAACAATTAAAAAATCGAATAACTCTAATATTGAAACTTGAAAACCCTAATTATTTAAAAATCGAGAAAGTGAAAAACTGAAGAAACGAACATATAAATTAAACAATCAAAAATACAAAAAAAAATTCAAAAATCAAAAATTTTAAAATGAAAACCGGAAAACTAAAAAATTAAGAAATTGTAAAAACGAAACATGGAAAAATTAAAAAATTGTAACATCGAAAAAACGAAACACTAAAAACGGAAAAATTTAAAAGTTGAGAAATCGAAGAATTGAAAAAATACAGAATCGGAAAATGGAAAAGCCAAAACTTGAATAATAAAATCGACAATAATTATTTTTGAAAAAGTGAAAAATTAAAAATCGGCAAATTTAAAAATGAAACAATTACATAATTGTAAATAAAAAAAATCAAAAATGAAAAAATTGAACATTAAAAATTGAAAAATCAAACTTGAAATATCGAAAAATTTAAAAAATTGACAAACTGAAAATTGGGTAACGAAAAAATAATTAAAGAATAGAACAACTGAGAAAAAGATAGAAACTGTAAAATCGAAAATTTGTAACATTGAAACCTGAAAAAGTGATAAATTAAAAATATAGGAATCGAACAATCGAAAAAACCAAAAATTGTTAAATTCAACAGACAGGAAATCGAAAAATTAAAAAACAATTTAGAAAATTGAAAAATTAAAATATCTACAAATTAAAAAATCGAAAAATAAAAAAATTTTACTAAAAAATGTAACAATTTCATAATGAAAATCGAAAAACTAAAAAATGGAGAAATCGAAACACGGAAAAATCGAAAAATTAGCAATTAAGAAAACGAAGAATATAAAAATGTTGAATTGAAAAATCAAAAAATGGAAGAAACAAAATAATTTGAAATTATGTACCTACTTGGAAGTACTTTATTTTTAATTTTTCATTTTCTCGATTTTTCATTTTTTAATTGTTCAACAAAGGACAAATTTATTCAAACTGAACTTTTGAAAAACCGAAAAATTCTAACACTGAAACATCAAAAACAAAATAATTAAACATCGAGAAATTTAAAAAATCAACAAAAAGAAACAATTTTTCAGTTTTTCGATATAAAATTTTTCAAATTCTCAATTTTTAATTCCTTGTTTTCTCGATTTGTCATTTTTTTAATTGTTCAACAAAAGGACAAATTTATTCAAACCGAAATTTTGAAAAGTTTAAAACTATAAAAATCAGAAAATCATTACATTGAAACGTCTAAAAATTATCAAATTGAAAAATCAAAAAAATTAAAACTTGAGAAGTGGAAGAATTGAAAAAACCGAAAAAATGAGAATCTAAAATTGAAAAATGAAACTTGAAATATGGAAAAATTTTAAAATTGAAAAATCGGAAAATTATAATATAGAAACCTGAAAACCCTGATTAATTGAAAACCGAAAATTTGAAAAACTGAAAAAACGAAAAAAAATCTATAAATTAAATAATCGAAAATACAAAAATTTTTAATTTCAAAATCCAAAGATTTTAAAATGAAACTTGAAATATAGAAAAATTGAAAAATTGAAAAACGAAAAAATTGAGAAATTGAATTGGATAATTGAAAAATCGAAAAATGTATAATATCGAAACTTTAAAACCCCAATTAATAAAAAATCGACAAATTGAAAAATCGACAAAACGGAGCAATTCTGCAATTTTTCGATATAAAAATTTTCAAATTCTGAATTTTTAATTTTTCATTTTCTCGATTTTTCATTTTGTAATTGTTCACAAATTTATTCAAACCGAAATTTTGAATTGAATTGAAAAATCAAAAATTGAGAGATCGAAGAATTGAAAAAATAAAGAAAACTTGAAAAAAACAAAAAAAATGAGACTTAAAAACTGAAAAATGAAATTTGAAATACCGAAAAATTTAAAAATTGAAAAACCGAAAAATGAAAAAAATTGAGAAATTGAACAGTGGGATAATTGAAAAAACAATTGAAAAATCGAATAATTCTAATATTGAAACCTGAAAGCCCTGATTATTTAAAAATCGAGAAAGTGAAAAACTGAAGGAACGAAAAACAAAAACTACATATAAATTAAACAATCAAAAATACAAAAAAAATTAATTTCAAAAATCAAAAATTTTAAAATGAAAACCAGAAAACTAAAAAATTAAGAAATTGTAAACGAAACATGGAAAAATTAAAAAATTGTAACATCGAAAAGCCGAAACTTGAATAATAAAATCGCCAATAATTATTTTTGAAAAAGTGAAAAATTAAAAATCGGCAAATTTAAAAATGAAACAATTACATAATTGTAAATAAAAAAAAAATTTTAATGGAAACATTGAAGAAATGAAAAATTGAACATTAAAAATTGAAAAATCAAACTTGAAATATCGAAAAATTGAAAAAATTGACAAACTGAAAATAATTAAAGAATGGAACAACCGAGAAAAAGATAGAAACTGTAAAATCGAAAATTTGGAACATTGAAACCTGAAAAAGTGATAAATTAAAAATATAGGAATCAAACAATCGAAAAAAAAACAAAAATTGTTAAATTCAACAGATAGGAAATCAAAAAATTAAAAAGGAAATTAGAAAATCGAAAAATACAAAAAGTTTACAACAATTCCTTAATGAAAATCGAAAAACTAAAAAATGGAGAAATCGAAACATGGAAAAATCGAAAAATTAGCAATTAAGGAAACGAAGAATATAAAAATGTTGAATTGAAAAATAAAAAAATCGAATAAACAAAATAATTTGGAATTATGTACCTGCTTGGAAGTACTTTATTTTTAATTTTTTATTTTCTCAATATTTCGTTTTTTAATTTTTCAACAAAAGGATAAATTTATTAAATCTGAAATTTTAAAAAATGAAAAAATCTGAACATTGTAACACCCAACAATTTAAAAATTGGGATATCAAAGAATTGAAAAAATAAAGAAACTCAAAATCGAATAATTAAAATGTTAAAACTATTGAAAAATCGAAAAATTGTAATATTGAAACCTGAAAACCCTGGTTAATTAAAAATCGAGTAAGTGAAAAATTGAGAAAAACGAAAAACAAAAACTTCTATAAATTAAACAATTGAAAATACAAAAAAAATTTAAATTCAAAATCCAAAAATTTTAAAATTTAAACTGAAAAACTAAAAAATCAAGAAAGATGGAAAAATTGTAACATCGAAAAGACGAAACACTGAGAAACCGAAAAATTTAAAAACCGAGAAATCAAAGATTTGAAAAAATACAGAAACTAAAAAATGGGGTAATCGAAAAGCCAAGAATTGTACACTAGAAAAAAAATTGGAAAATGAAAAATTGTAACCTTAAAAATGAAAAAACTGAAAATTTAAAAAACAAAAAAATCGAACAAATGCAAAATTGAAAATCAAAAATAGAAAAAACGAAACTTGAAACATCGAGAAATTTAAAAATTGTAATCTGAAAACTTCGATAATTGAAAAAACAACTTACAATTTGAAAAACTGAAAAAAAGAAACTGTAAAATCGAAAAACCGGTCATTTATAATCGAGAAATAGAAAAATACGGAAAACAAAATTTTCTAGAAATAGAAAAATCGACAAATTGTAAAATTCAAAAGTTGAAGAACATCAAAATAAACATCGAAAAACGGTAAAGCTAAAAAATCGAAAACTGAAAATTGAAAAAAATGAAACATTGAACAATAAAAAAAAATTGAAATACCGAAATGTATGTGGCGGCACAATAATAGCAGGGTAAGCGAAGTAAAGATAAGCCGCTCTGTAGCCTAGTGGTCAAGGCATCCGCCCGGCAAGTGGGAGATGTGTGGTTCGATTCGCACCGGGGCAGCAAATATTTTTCTTCGCTTACTTAAAATACCATGGTTCTAATTGATTAAGACTTCTGTTTTCCTCGGAGCCATTTGTCTTGCTGGCATTCTACATCCACTTTATGTACCTATATTTGTTACATTTTCAGACACCAGCGTCCGGATTTCCTGGAGTAGAAGATGACTTAGTTTTTAGTGGAGCAGGATCCGGCTGCAATGGTGATGACGAAGACGAATGTCCCCCTCTTCCCGAAACAGGCTCTGGAGATGATGACCTAATCACTCCGGTTTATATTCCTCCAACTAAATCAACTCCAACAACTAAAAAACCTACGAAAACCCATGAGGCTGGAAAACCATGCGATGATGAGGACTGTTTTACCGGCTCTGGATCAGGAGAAGTAACAGAAGAACCCGTTATTACATCTCATGCTACAGGTAAAAAACTCAATAGTAATGATATTGAACGACTTCAGTGATAACATTTTTCATATTTTATTTGGTTTAGATGTAAGCATCACGACTCCCGATAACACGAGCGTAAAAACGTCAGACGCCGGTTCTACGTCAACTAGTACGCAAATTTTCGGTTCAACAATTAGCGTTTCGACTACAGAACGGGACTATTCATCGACGACACCACAACGTACAACTGCAGTTGAAACAACTATAGTTGTAACAACAGAAGACACTGTGAAAAGTTCGACCGAAAAAGTACCAGCTCATTTCTATCCCTCACTTCCAGAAGACCAACACGAAGTCGATAACATTAACACCAAGTACCACGGTAAAACAACCACCAAAGGAACCGAAAGAATCAATACGGAGACGTCTGATACGGTCGCTTTGATTATTGGAATCATTGCAGGCGCATTAATAGCTGTAATTTTAATAATCCTCGTGATTTTGAAATTCAAACCTCGCAGTGATGGCGCGTTTAAAGTTGATGACAGTAAAGGTTATCAACAAGGGCCCAATGCCGCACTTTTAGGCAATACTAGCAGTACCAATGGACAAACTCAATATCAACTAAACGGTGCCCTACGAAATGGTGATAAAAGCCAAATGCAAAAATCGAAGAAACGCGATAGTAAAGACATTAAAGAGTGGTATGTGTAAGGTGTTTTCAATTTGAGATGTGACTCCGAGCCATTTCGTGAAATAAATATCGTGACTGAAGGTGTGGATGGACGAATGATTTACACAACCAATTAATAAGAAAGTGATATCTTCATATTGTCTTCAGTTACCTACTTTGAAGTCTTATACGGTCTTGAAACTTTTCAAATGAGAATTATGTAATAAAGAAACGTTAACTATGCTCACTGTTGCATAAACTACAGCAAATTGTTCTTGAAAAATCTTTACCGCCGCTAAAATTTCTTCTATGCAATGCCATCTTTCATGTTGAAAAATATACTTTTACTTAATTTTACTAAATTTATAACTTTAAAAATAAATGCAGGCACAGATAAAATCAATGATATGTATGACGCAAATATGTTTCATCTCTATGGATTGACCAAATTATCTCAGTTGTCATGTGTACAGTAAATAAATTAGAGACTCGAGAATCTATAATATCATCTTAAACTTATAAAAAACAAAAATATCCGGGAAGAATCACACTAGGTACTTAAAATATTCGATTTACACTTGGTATAAAAATACCTTATATTTTACATACGGTGAAGGTTTGAGTCCTAAGGAAAGATGTAAATATTTTTTCTGTAACGGTTAGATTTTTTATAATAAGTATGTAACAAAACAAACTCTTATATATTTCCTTCTGAAAATATTTTTTTTTGTTAGAGAAGAGTGAGGTATTCACAATTTCTCAAAAGTCTAAAGTACTGTTATTTGAATTACTACAAATGTAGCTAATTAGTTTTTATATATCGTTATGAGCAACAAAATTTAATATGAGAGGAGGCAGCGCAACTTGGGGTGATACATAGACATTTAATATTTTTGCTGCTCATAGGGTATATCAGTTTAATTATTTTGATTTGATAGCTGAAACAAGTAGTGGTTGAACGACTAAGACTGCAGTTGAAACAAATAATATCATATCATATCAACCTTACTATACTGTATAACTTTTATAGTTTATCAACTACATTCAACCTGAAATTTTGACGAAAATCTCATTTTAAACAATACAATCCTCAATATTTTAAAAGTAAAACTGACGAATATAGACATACTTAATATCACCTTTTTATTCATTGTAAAAAGAAATAAATTTATTTATTCTGTGCCTGTTTAAACGTTGCGTAGGAGAAAAACTTAACAAATATAATAATTCGTGGAAAAAAATACGAAACATTTACACTACCTACAAATATGCCTCTATCAATCCTTTACAGTGACACTTGTATTTAAATAGCAATACAGAGATAGATTATACGATTAAACAATTTGATTATAAAATTAGTTGACATTTGTTGTGTATAAAAAGATTGTAAGTAGTTAAGATAGCATTTTGTATTATACTTTTGGTTTTGTTAGAGCTACAATAAAATGGCGTATATTTGGATGTTAAATGTGTTTGTAATTGTTCATTTGCTGTTATTTTAGAAATCCGAGTAGTCATATTACTGATGAAACTATACTAAAAGATAATATTTTCTACGAATTACAATAACCGGTCCAGACTTTTTTATAGCTCCGACTTCCGCTTATTAAATAAAATATTGCATTTTATTTCAGTAATTTATGACTTGCAACCAGTCAGACACCTGCATAAAGAGCTGCCGCCTGAGTTTTGTTTGCAATATCGTTTCTTATTTTAATTTTGCTTTTTTGATCGTTCAATAATTTCAAAAGTGTACCGCACAATTTTGAAATCACTGCATTTGGATTCATATTTTTTCGATTTGCTTATACAGGGTGATGTAAAACAATTAATTAATGACTCAATTTATTTTAATGATTAAATCAAGAACTATGTTGTTGGTTCTCCGATTGTACAATTTTTTGAGTCTTAAACTAAAAAGTTTAAGACTCAAAAAATTGTAAACTTAAAAAAGTTTTTTAATTTTTCGATTTCGTGTTTTTTTTATTTTTCGGCAAAAGAACAAATTTATCCAAACTAAAATACTGGAAAATCGGAAAATTGTATCATTGAAACAATGAAGAATACAAAAATTTTAAAATGAAAAATCCAAAAATTTCAAAATGATAATCGAGACACCTAAAAATTGAAAAAACATAGAAAAACTAAAAATAAAACTGCAAAATCGGTGATTGAAAAATTAGAGAAAGGACAAAATAAAAAATCCTGAAATTGAAAATTCAAAAAATCGAAAAACCAAACAATTTTGCGATTTGTCAATTTGAAAGTTGTCAAGTCTTGATTTCCAATTTTAATCAAAATAAAATTTTGCAAAATCGATAACTTAACACCGAAACATTAAAAAATGCAGCAATTAAAAATCGAGAAATTGAAAAATCGATTGAATTTTTCGATATAATATTTTTTAAATTCTCGATTTTTCATTTTTTAAATGTTCAACAAAAGTACAAATTTATTCAAACCGAAATTTTGAAAAATTTAAAAATTTAAAAATCAGAAAATTGTAACATTGAAACGTCTAAAAATTATTAAATTGAAAAATCAAAAAATTTAAAAATTGAGAAGTGGAAGAATTGAAAAAATAAAGAAAAATTGAAAAAACCGAAAAAATGAGAATCAAAAATTGAAACATGAAACTTGAAATTTCGAAAAATGAAAAAATTGAGAAATTAAACAATGGGATAATTGAAAAAAAACATTTGAAAAATCGAAAAATTGTAATATTGAAACCTGAAAACCCTGATTAATTAAAAATCGAAAAAGTGAAAAATTGAAAACACGAAAAACAAAAACTTCTATAAATTTAACAAAAAAAAAATTCGAAATTCAGAAATTTTAAAATGAACCAGAAAACGAAAAAATTAAGAAATTGTAGAAACGAAACATGGAAAAATTAAAAAATTGTAACATCGAAAAAACGAAACACTGAAAAACCGAAAAATTTAAAAGTTGAGAAATCGAAGAATTGAAAAAATACAGAAGCTGAAAAATCGGAAAATGAAAAAGTCAAAACTTGAATAATAAAAACCCTAATAATTATTTGAAAAAAGTGAAAAATTAAAAATCGGCAAATTTAAACATGAAACAATTACAAAATTGTAAATTAAAAAAATTAAAAATGGAAAATTGAAGACATGAAAAATTGAAAATCAAAAATTAAAAAACCAAACTTGAAATATCGAAAAATTGAAAAAATTGGCAAAATGAAAATTGGGCAACCAAAAAACCATTACAAAATGGAACAATTGAAAAAAAGATAGAAACTGTAAAATAACATTGAAACCTGAAAAAGTAATAAATTAAAAATCTAGAAATTGAAAAATCGAAAAAACGAAAAATTGTAAAATTCAACAGATGGAAAATCGAAAAGTTAAAAAGCACAATAGAAAATTGAAAAATATGCGACAATTTCATAATGGAAATCGAAAAACTAAAAAATGGAGAAATCGAAACATGGAAAAATCGAAAAATTATCAACTAAAAAAACGAAAAATATAAAAACTCGAATTGAGAAATCAAAAAATCGAAGAAACAAAATAATTTCGAATTACCTACTTGGAAGTACTTTACTTTTAATTTTTTATTTTCTCAATTTTTCGTTTTTTAATTTTTCAACAAAAGAACAAATTTATTAAAACTGCAATTTAAAAAAAACAAAAAATCGGAAAATAGTAACACTGAAAAATTGAAAATTCAAAAAATTAAAAACTGAAAAATCGAAAAAGAAACTGAAAACCCGACAATTTAAAAATTGGGATATCGAAGATTTGAAAAAATAAAGAAACTCAAAATCGAATAATTAAAATATTAAAACAATTGAAAAATCGAAAAATTGTAATATTTAAACCTGAAAACCCTAATTAAATAAAAATCGAGAAAGTGAAAAATTGAAAAAAATAAAAACAAAAATTTCTATAAATTAAACAATCAAAAATACAAAAAAAAGTTAAGAAATTGTAAAAAAGAAACATGGAAAAATTGAAAAATTGTAACATCGAAAAGGCGAAACATTGAAAAAGCAAAAAATTTAAAAATCGAGAATTCAAAAATTTGAAAATATACAGAAACTGAAAAATCGGGTAATGGAAAAGCCAAAAATTGTACACTTGAAAAAAAACCCTAATAATTATTCTTTGAAAAAAGTGAAAAACTGAAAATCGGGAAATTTAAAAATGAAACAAACAAAATTGTAAATTTGAAAAAAAAACAATGAAACCTTAAAAATTGAGAAATTGAAAAATCGAAAAACGAAAAATTGTAAAAAGATGGAAAATCGAAAAATTAAAAAGCAACTTGGAAATTCGCCTAATTAAAATATCAGCAAATTATAAAATCGAAACATACAAAAATTTTAGTGAAACATAAAAATCATAATGAAAATAGAAAAACTAAAAAATCGAAAAATCGAAAAATGTAAAAACGATACACGGAAAAGAAGAAACGGAACGAATTACATAGTTGCACGTACTTTATTTTTTATTTTTCAACAAAAGGACAAACTTATTAAACGTGAAATTTAAAAAAAATCAAAAAATCGGAAAATTGTAAAACTGAAAAATTGAAAAATCAAAAAATTAAAAACTGAACAATCGAAAAAGAAACATTGAAAAACCGAGCAATTTAAAAATTGAGAAATCGGAGAAACTCAAAATCGAATAATTAAGACGTCAACAATTGGAAAATGAAAAATTGTAACCTTAAGAATGAAAAAACTGAAAATTTAAAAAACAGAAAACTCGAACAAATGCAAAATTGAAAATTAAAAATAGAAAAAACGAAACTTGAAACACCGAGAAATTTAAAAATTGTAATCTTAAAACTTGAGAAACTGAAAACTTCGATAATTGAAAAAAGAACTGAAAATTTGTAAAAATTGAAAAAAAAAAAGAAACTGTAAAATCGGATAACGGAAAAATCAACAATTGAAAAATCGAAAAATCGAGAAACTGAAAAGTCGGCAACAAAAAATTTAAAAATGCAACAACTGGTGCAACAACGGGTACAACAACGGGTGCAGAAATTAATGTATGCTATGCTTCAGACCTACCAGGCAGTAATCATAACATATTATCTATATAAGTCTCACTGTGACATTTATCCGGAACAAAAGTCCTTTGAAACAGTAAGGTGTGAGTAAATTTTTAAAAATCAATTATTCAGTAATTAAAATTTATATTTCGATTTTATGATAATTAGACCACTTTTTCCTTTTTTGTAGTCGTAAATAATTTGTACACATTTTTAAAGACCATTTTTGAAATAAAAATTACAACTGCAACCAAAATGAAGAAACTGCATAGCAAAACCACCAGTACATCGATTAAATAGTATTTATACCAGGTAAGTTTTGTGGCAAATGGTTTTAAATGGTTGGCATGTTTGTGTGTTATAACGTGTTCCGTCCAGTAGATAGCTGTCTCCAGAGGTTTCATGGGTTGCTGCCTTAATAAAGTCGAACGGAAGTTAATTTGTTCTTGATATCTGTGACATAACCATTTATTTAAGTTTACTTATCAATCGAATAAACTTACTTCGGATTTGTTGTAACTTCCTTAATTGAATCGACTAAAGTATTTTCAGTTATGTTGTCAGGGGAGAGATGCAGCCCTATTTCTCGTGATTCAATAAAAGCTGCGTTGGTTAATTGATCTCCACTAAATGGTATGCAGATCATCGGAACACGATAGTGAATAGACTCGATCAAACTTAACATTCCGCCATGAGTTATAAATAATTTTAAATTGGGATGTGCTACAAATGTAAAATAAAAACAATAATTAAAATATCACTATTCATTACCTAAAACATCTGCTTGAGGTACCCACTTTACAATTTTGATATTTTTAGGAATGTCAACTAAATCACTGGCTTCATATTTCCATAATACAGTTTGTGCTATCCTTCCTAATCCCTTCAATATGTTAGTTAATACCTCCTTACTTAAACTGGAAGACGATTTTTGTGTTCCCAAACTGAAAAATATTACACCTTCTGGAGCGCTGTCTAGGAACGTTTGTAAGTTCTGCAATAATAGTACGCAGTTATTGCCAAAAATAAATGTTTTACTACACCTCCGGTAAATTTTTTGGTTCATCCACATGGAATCCACCTACCGGAATAATGTTAGGCGTGTAAGGTCGTACTGTTTCAAAACTGAAATGTGAATTACTCAAAACCAGTGCTACATTTTCTTGAAGCTCTGGAATTGTTGGTGGATTGTCAAAATAACGTTTCAATAGTTCATAATGAGCAGTTTTTCTTCGTGGAATAAACAAGGTATTAATAGCCAGATTAAACAGTGTCATTAAAACTCTTTCTTTAAAAGACATTTCGTCAGTTATAAAAATACCAGCACCCGGTACGTAAGAATAGGGCAAAACATTTCCCGTAAAATCACTAAGTAAAGCCATGTTACCAAAGGACGATATGTAAATTACAGGTGCTTTATAAATGTGACCAAATATTAAGGTGGCTTCGTTATAAAACCAGTCTATTATAATTAAATCAAAATTTTCATTGGAGTGTAAAAGTTTCTGAACTTCTAGATTTTTAAATGTTTCTTCAGTGTGTTGCATACTCATATTTTTCAACTCTTCTATACCCATGTGTTTATTTTTATTCTTTTCATGTCTTTCTGGAAAAGGGTACAATGTAAATAAAAAAGATACATATTATACTTTTTGTGGAAAGATAAATAAAGCACGCACTGTGTTGCGGTATAAATAAAATTAAATATTCATTTACAGAGTGTCCATAAATTAACTAATATCCATATTTGGAAATTGTAAAGTTTTAGAATTTTTTATAATCATCCTGTATGTTTAGTATTGCGCTGGAATTGATATTATAATGATGATATAGGTAATTTATGTTAAATATTAAACAGCATTGCGAGAATGGAAGAACTCATTTCACATTTTACATTGTATGCACAAAACCGAAGGGTGGCAGATAAAGAAACCCAAAATAATCATTGAAAAGAAAAGTCTGGAAGCGGAAGTCGCGATGGGTACTCCAGAAAAACCTCGATCGTGGAATATCTAGAAAGGAAGTATGGTTTAAATAGACGCCACCTTCGGGAACGAATCAAACAGTCAACGAGAGGATTCAGTCAAATTTCGCCAGAATTATTTTGTCCATAATCGCTGTGTAATTAGTCGTGTAAATCTGAGTACTGAAGAATAAAAAGGAATAAAGGATGCAGATAAGGAAACTGGAAAAAGGGATGAAGATACTGTTTTGGAATGTGCAAAGGTTGCGAAAAAGGAAAAGGAGTTTTGGGACTATATGGGAAAATTTGATGTGGTGGAACTAGTAGAGATACGGGTACAAAGAAAACTGGGAGAAATTTGAAGAGATACTACCACAAGAATATGTGTGGGAGTGTCAAGGGACGACAAAGGAAAAGAAAAAGGGGAGAAGAAGTATTAATAAAAACGGACTAATGAAGAAAGTAATACAGCTGGATAACAATCGATGGGAAATAATAATCGTTTGTAGCAAGAAAATGGAGGAAACCAAGATAAACATAGAAAAGGAAACAAAAGAAAAAGGAGATGAAAAAATATTTATAGGAGGGGATTTTAACGCAAGACTGAGCGATAAGGGGACAAGTATAATAGATAGAGAAAAGGGAGAGAAAAGAGGATCAAAAGACAAAGCAAATTGCAACGAAGGGAAAATATTGTGGAAGATAATAGGAGAAATGGGATGGGAAATTTTGAATGGAAACAAGGAAGGAGATGAAGAAGGAGAGTGGACGTATGTAGGAGCTAGGGGAGAATCAATTATAGACTACGGGATTGTCAATGAATAGGCGTGAGAAGAAATAGATAGTTTCAAAGTGGGGGAAAGGGTAGAATCAGACCACATGCCACTAGAAACAAAAAAGAGAGAAGAAACGCGAGAAGAGAAAGAGAAAAAAGAATATGGGATGAAGAGGGAATTCAAAGATACAGAAGTAGACTACAAAAAAAGAAATTCGAACTAAAAGAAGATATATAAGCTATGATAGCAGAACTGATCAACTTAATTGAAGAAGCTACGGAAAAAAGAAAGAATGTAGTTAGTTGAAGAGAAAAGCAAGAGAAAAATTTAAAAAATGGAACAATAACAGGAGAACGAAAGAAGAGCACTTAAAAACAAGACAGAATTATAGGAGAAAATGTGAAGAAAGAAAAACAGAAAAACGAGAAGAAGAAGAGAAGACAATAAAGTCCCTGAAAACAGAAGAAGTATGGAGATATATGAAACAAGGAACGGAGAAGGAAGACTGAAGTCAGTAGGAAAATCAAAATACATTAATGGAAAAGACACTTTATGGAATTATGGGGAGGTTGTGAGGAAAAGTGCTGCAAAATAAATAAAGAAATCACAACGACTGAAGAAATGTGGAGAGAATCGAAAATAACAGAAGATGAAATGGGAAGACAGATTGAAAAACTGAAAAGAGGAAAGGCACCAGGAGGGGATGGAATCCAGAACGAAACGTGGATGTTCGGCACAGAAGGAGTGAAAGAAGGGATATGGGAAGTGGTAGATGAAGTTTGGAAGGGAAACGGGTTTCCTCGGCAGTGCAGAGAAGATATAATAATCCCATTATTTAAAAAGAGGCAAAAAAGTAATGTGAAGAAATATCGTGGGATCACCTTGCTCAACACGGCGTACAAGATATGTGCAATGATACTAGATGAGAGGTTACGAAAGGAGATGGAAGGAAGGGGTATGTTACCAGATGGTCGGGCAGGGTTTAGGAAAGGAAGAGGTACTATGGACAATGTGTACATCCTGCGGCATTTACTGGGAAGAGAAATAAGGGAAGAGGGTGGACGAAAGTACGCATTGTTCATAGATTTCAAAGCACCGTTTGATAGCGTGAATAGAGAGAAAATGTGGGAGTATGTGAGGAGAAAGGGTGTAGATGCGTCTCTGGTAACGAAAATAGAGGAGTGACACAGGGATGCTCATTCACCCCCGCATTGTTTGCAGTTTATCTAGGAAATTAGATGACATGTTCAGAAAAGCACAGGCAAGAGAGGTAGTGGCAAAGAAAAGAGAAAAATGAAAACAATGATTAAAAGTTTCGAGAAGTACGTACAAAAAAAGGAATTGGATATGAATGTGGGAAAAAATAAAAATGGTGGTGTTTGGGAAGAAAGTAAGAAAGGAGAAGGAAGAGTGGGCTTGGAGAGGGAAGAAGATTGAGCAGGTGAAAGAATTACAGTACTTAGGATATACATTAAAGACCAATAACTCAGATAGAGCGCGTATTCAAGAAATGGTCCGAAAAGCGAAGAAAGTGATAAGAATAGTATATAATATAATATAATAGGAGAGAGAAAATTTGGACATGATTATAAGAGAAGAATGATGATGTTTGATAGTTTGATCAAAAGTGTACAGAGCTGAGATTTGAGAAAGGAGGGAATATAAATTAATAGAGAAAGTGCAAGAAAAATACTTAAAATGGACATTGGGATTGGAAAAGTATACGCCGGGGTATATACTGAGACAAACAAAAATGTTGGAAAGATATAAGAAAAGAAGGGGGAAAACATGTTTGAAACGAAAGAGACAAGTATTATGAAGAAAAGGATATGCATGTGAAGAAATAGAGAGAATGAGGGAAATGGGAAGGAGTATGAAAGAAGAACTGAGTGTAAGAGATAAGGATATAGATAAGCAAGAACGCAGATCGAGAATATCGGAGTCTAGATATAATGCAGAGTATAGAAAAATAGTAAAGGATGAAGTACCAAAGTACACAGAGAGAGAGTATAAAGGAGAAAAGAATGATGGCGAGATTTAGGGGTGGAAATGAAGAGAAAGAGAATAATTTTTGGATGGATGAAACTGACAGAAGGTGTAGGATATGTTGGAGAGAGAGAGAGAGAGAGAGAGAGAGAGAAACAATATTGAGAGAATCGGAGGAAAGTGGGAAGAAATGCTAAACGAGGATGGAAGAGGACTGGACTGGATGAAAGAAGTACGGAAGATAAGGGAACTAAGGCAAGGGGTGAAAGAATAGAACAATTATTATTATTATATAAAACTCGAATATTTATTTTATTTATTCGGTAGGTTAAGTTAATTTGTATCCCTACTGGGAATCTTCTTAAGCCTGTAAGACAAATAATAAATTAATACTACTACTATTAAAAAAACATGTTTGATCAAAATGGGGCTTCAGTATGTCCACTGCACAAATTAAGAAATTAGAAACGCCGTGGATGTTTCTTGTATTCGAACTTTTGGTAAATTACCCATTGATTGATTAAAGGAAGTAGGTTTTACTTTCAAGCACGTGACACGTTGTCTTAAAACACTTCTTACAGCATTTCGCCCGTGCAAAGGCCAAAATTGTTGTCGTACAGTGGCTAGAGTACATTGACATCCTGCATGCTTAAGTTGCTTATGTATATCTGATATTATTTTAGTATTTAATATGATGGGTTTTTGGAAATAAATGAGGTTGCTTTTGTATTTCTTGAAGGTTAGAATGAACTAATCTGCATCCCATTCGGATTAGATCATGATTACCCAGATTTATTAAACTCTAAATGAGCGAATTGGATATTATTTGGAATTTTGAACAATGTATGAGAGGAACTGAATGCCAGTGTTCCTGGTAATTTGATCTAAGACTAAACATTTTAGCTGTGTAGCAAATGAATTAAGTCTTACTTTACTGTTTTAAAAACTAGTGCAGTTTCTAAATCAAGTCTTTCAGCTAAGAGTTTGTAATTAAACTATGATTCAGAACCTTCATCTAATAATGCACGGCAAAAATTATAACTTGTATACCTGTCTTTTATGAAAATAAGTGCAGTTGGTAATAACACCCTAACTGGCTTAACAGTTTCTTTTGCATGCGCGAATTATGTTTTTGGTTACATAACTTGCAAGTATACAAGATCGACTTAAATTGATAGAATAAGGTTTTAAACAATTAATGCATAATTTTAATTCGTTGACCTGAGATTGACGTCGTTTGACGGCTAGCTTTAAAAACTCTTCACAATGATAATCAATTGTTGTTTGCGATATGAACAGATTTTGGATTGAAGGGCTTTGGTTTTAAATTAAATTGTTGTGTTTTAAAGCATTTATTTGATGACTCTAATAGTTGGTACCTTTTTGTTGAAAATGCTTTCATTTGGGCCATTGCTGGCAATTCAGACCTTATCAATGAACTCGCCCATTCTCTAGTAGTAATAAATTCGAATATAGTTGTTATCAAATAAATTTTAATTAAGATTGGGTCCCAACTTTTAACGTCCAATTTCAACGCTTCAAGCGCCTTTAAATTTAAACTTAAATTTCAGCCCCGTAGCTAGAAAACTTATTCAGGGGGGGCAAGTTTGTCGACAGAGGGGGCTTCATGTAAATATTTATATTTTAATAATACACTCAGATAACTACTTTATTTTTTCTGAGTTTTTATATTTGAAAGAACATTAAAATAATTGGAAACGTCGATTTTTCACGCTAAATTTTCGTAAAAACCTGTCGAAGTCCAAAAAATTAGTACGGTACTTGGTTAAAATGCTGGTTAAAACAGAGAATGTAGATTCACAAACAGCTGTACTGCATCCAAAAATTTGTGTAGTGACCATATAGGTAACATCCAATTTGTTTGAGTTTATTTTTTTGCATGTTTAGTACATATTTTAAAAATCCGACTTCGAAACCAAATATTTCGAAAATTTTGGTACGGAACCATGAACTCGTCATGTTTTTTTAAACTCGTCGAGATGTGTATTTCAGAATTTTTTGTCAACTTTAACAAAAGCTCAATTTTTGGAAACCCATATAAAATTTTTGACTTTTCCCAAGCATTTTCGAAAATTACCAAAAGAATTCCTTTGTTCATCTCGATTTCTTCCAAAAATCGTTTTGGATTCAATTTTTTTGAAAATTCTTACATTTTTTGCAGAATCGACGGAAGAAAAATGGCAATTTTTGAGAACCTGTATCAAATTTTTGACTTTTTTCAAGCACATTCGAAATTACCAAAAGGGATTCCTTTATTGATTTCGATCTCCAGATGTTGTTTTTGGTTGTTTCTTCGAAAATTCGTACAATTTTTCCATAATCGCCAAAAGAAATATGGCAATTTTTGAGAAATTTTGAAAATTCCAGCTCGAAACCGAGTATTTCGAAAATTTTGATCCGGAATCTTGAACCTGTCATGTTTTTTTAAGCTCGTCGAAATCAATATTTCAGAATTTTTTGTCAACTTTTACGAAAGTTCAATTTTTGAAAACCCATATAAAATTTTTGACTTTTCCCAAGCATTTTCAAAAAATTATCAAAAGAGACTCCTTTGTTCATCTCGATTTCCAAAAATCGTTTTGGACTCAATTTTTTTGAAAATTCTTACAATTTTTCCAGAATCAACGGAAGAAATATGGCAATTTTTGAGAACCTGTATCAAATTTTTGACTTTTTTTTAAGCACGTTCGAGATTACCAAAAGGGATTCCTTTATTGATTTCGATCTCCAGATGTTGTTTTTGGTTATTTTTTCGAAAATTCGTACAATTTTTCCACAATCGCCAAAAGAAATATGGTAATTTTTGAGAAATTTTGAAAATTCGAGCTCGAAACCGAGTATTTCGAAAATTTTGATCCGGAACCATGAACCTGTCATGTTTTTTTAAGCTCGTCCAAATCTATATTTCAGAATTTTTTGTCAACTTTTACGAAAGTTCAATTTTTGAAAACCCATATAAAATTTTTGACTTTTCCCAAGCATTTTTAAAAATTATCAAAAGAGACTCCTTTGTTCATCTCGATTTCCAAAAATCGTTTTGGATTCAATTTTTTTGAAAATTCTTACAATTTTTCCAGAATCGACGGAAGAAATATGGCAATTTTTGAAAACCTGTATCAAATTTTTGACTTTTTTCAAGCACGTTCGAGATTACCAAAAGGGATTCCTTTATTGATTTCGATCTCCAGATGTTGTTTTTGGTTTTATTTGGTTGAAAAGTCGTAAAATTTTTCAGCAATCGCCAAACGAAATGTAATTTTTGAACTTTGAAACCGAATTCAACAAAAGCTAAATTTTTGAAAATCTATAAAATGTTTATGACTTTTCCCAACCGTTTTCGAAAATTAGCAAAAGGGATCTCTTTATCGATTTCGATTTCCAAATGTTGTTTTTGGTTTTATTTTCTCGAAAATTTGTACAATTTTTCCAAAGCCGCCAAAAGAAATGTAATTTTTGAGAAATTTTGAAATGTCGACTTTGAAACCGAATTTTTCGAAAATCTTGGTCTGGGACCATCAAGACCTTATGTTTTTGGATTAAGCTCATCGAGATCTACATCTCGGAATTTTTTGTTGATTTTTTGTTAATTTCAACAAAAGCTCAATTTTTGAAAATCCATATACATTTTTTGACTTTTCCTAAGCATCTTCTAAAATTAGCAAAAGGGATCTCTTTATTGATTTCGATCTACAGATGTTATTTTTGGTTTTATTTTTTTGATATTTCGTCGAATTTTTCCACAATCGCATAAAGAAATAACTTTTTTTTAAGTCACTTTTGAGATTTTTTAGAAATTTTAGGTAGAACCCAATATTTCGTAAATTTTGCTCCGGGAGCATGAACATGTTTTTCGATTAAGCTCATCGAGATCTATATTTCAGAATTTTTTGTCAACTCTAACAAAAGCTCAATTTTTGAAAACTATATAAATTTTGACTTTTCTTAGCATTTCCAAAAATTACCAAAAGTCATTCTTTTATTTATTTCAATCTTCAGATGTTGTTTTTGGTTTTATTTGATCGAAAATTTGTAAAATTTTTCTAGAATCGTCAAAAGAAATAGGAGTATAATTTTTGAGAAATTTTAAAAATTCGACTTGGAAACCGAATAGCAGCAAGACCTTATGTTTTTTGACTAAACTCGTCGAGATCTACATCTCAGAATTTTTTGTAGATTTTCAGCCAATTTCAACAAAAGCTCAATTTTTGAAAATCTATAAAAAAAATTTGACTTTTCCCACGCATTTTCGAAAACTAGCAGAAGGGATCTTTTTATTGATTTCGATCTCCAAATGTTTTTTTTTGGTTTTATTTTTTCGAAAAAACGTACAATTTTTCCAGAGCCGCCAAAAGAAATGTAATTTTTCAGAAATTTTTAAATGTCGACTTTGGAACCGAATTTTTGAAAAATCTTGGTCTGGGACCATCAAGACCTTATGTTTTTTGATTAAGCTCATCGAGATCTACATCTCAGAATTTTTTGTCTATTTTTTGTCCATTTCAATAAAAGCTCAATTTTTAGAAAATCCATATAATATTTTTGACTTTTCTCAAGTACCTACATAGTAGGCTATGGAATAAAATGTGACATGTTCATTTTTTTATACGGTCCAGATCAACGGTAGTGTGATACTGCCAAATAATATACCATGTAAGAAAATAAAGGTGGGTGGGGCCAGTTAATATGCTTCGGCAATCGGCATTATATTGAAATTTTATTACTAATTTGAAATTTATAATGTATAAGTCTTCCAGGGGGGGCAACCACAACTGCTAGGGGGGGCTCAGCCCCCTCTTGCCCCCCCGTAGCTACGGGGCTGTTAAATTTAAGTAATCTGCAAACATACCTAGTGTGTTAGCACAATCCTTTGAAATGTTAGGTACTTAGGTACATTGAATAATTCACGCATGTAAAATTTGGAATTTGTAATGTTGGTAATTTGGCGTGTATATTTGTAGTAAACACGCCGGAGTACTGTGTTCAAGTGTTTTATTTTCTAACCTAATAATAAATGAATATGCTATGCAACCCACAATTCCTCGATGTTATTTTATTTTTTATTTTATTTGATTACGTTCCCCTACAGGCCGGTGGCCCAATTACAGGGGAACGGGGGACATACACAACACCCAGAGCCGGGCAGGAATCGAACCCACGACCCAAGGTGTGAACCCTCCTCCCAGACTCGCTCGTTGGTTCTAGGGTCTCGGCTCTTGGCGGACTTGCAGGGATTTGTTCGTGGTTTGCAACCCGGTTTTGGTGCTTCGCTCTTCGGGTCTTCAGCTGTAGCTGTCCTATTTTGTCGGCTTTCCCGACAATGAAACGGATTGCCTCGGTTGGAGTCTGAACAGCTGGGAGTCTACTGAGAGCATCCGCATGGCTAATATTCTTCCCTGAGGAAGAATAGGTTATCTCTAGGATTGGCTTCTGTTCTCCGAGGATTCCCAGCAGTGGCATGTAGTCCGTTACAATCTGAAATTCTCTACCATATTATAAGTAATTGTGGAATTTTCTTACCCCAGATACAATTGCGTATGCTTCTCTTTCCACATGTGAATATTTTCTCTCAGCGGCGCTCAGGGTTTTGGAATGGAACGCAATTGGGGTTTGAGATCCATCCTGTAGTACGTGGCTCATGACGCAGCCGATACCCCAGTGCGTCTGATGCGAGTAAGTTCTTCAGATTTTGGAACGCCACTTGGCGTGTCCACGAGCACTTTGCGTTCTTTTCAAGTAATCGGTGCAGCGGTTCCGCCACGTTTGCTTTCTTGTTGAGGGAACTGTGGTAAAAGTTTAAGAGTCCCAAAAATGACTGCAATTCTTGTTTGTTCTTGGGTTCTGGGGTCGCCTTGATTGTTGGTACCTTTTCGTCCTTAGGTCTGATCTATTGTATAACCTAAAAAGTCTATCGTTTCCGCGAGAAATACACATTTGTCTTTTTTCAGTTTCAATCCGTCCATTGCAAAACGCGCTAACACTGTTGATAGTCTTTGTAAGAGTTCATCGCGGGTGTGATATCGTCGAAGTAAGGGAACACGCCCGAAATCCCAGCCAGTCTGTTATTTATGAAGCGCTGGAATACTTGTGGTGCCACATTCACCCCGAACTGTAGTCTACTTACGCTAAACGTCCCTTTGTGCGTGATAGTCGCCTGAGTTTTGCCCTGTTAATTGTACATTTATAGTCCGCGCACAAACGTACACTCCCGTCTGTCTTAATCACTGGCACATCGGGGTGGTCCATTCCGGATTTTCAATCGGTTTTAGAACACCTTGTTTAAGCAACCTATCCAGTTCCCTCTCCACTTTCGGGCGCAATACATAGGATAGGTTCCTGGCTAGTAGTCGTATTGGTTTTATTGAGGGAGAACCACGTGTGATGCTGCCTATTGATGAAACCGTTTTCCAACTAGGTGCAATATGGTGGTGACCCTTTTCGCAGGGACGCTGCCTACCGCTGACGTCGCTTCCAGTTAATGAGAATAATGATTACCGATTTGTAATTCGGTGCGATCTGATCCAATCCGGCTCGAAGGACCAGTGTTTGGTATAGCACTCGAAGGACCGTTGATATTATGATGATGATGTAATATGATTAATAATAAACAGCATCGTTCGGTTATGGTAAGACCCACTTTACATTTTACATTGTACAAGGAGAGTTTAAATTTAACCAGGAATTTTACTCCTGAACGCAATACAATACACCGATCACGAAATAACTTTTTACGTATACTAATAAAAAAATTGGTCTAAAGAGTTTAGACAGTACTTCCCTCGCTGTCGGAAACTTGACGACTGCATGCCTATTGTGTTTTTTTTCTCATTACATTTTTGTAGTGGGAATTTAAAAAAAAATTGCGATGACGTCATCAACATTTTTGCAAGGACACGTGTATCAGTTGGGATAGATGTAGTGTAATACTAAGAATAAAATTATTATATTCTCAAATTTTCGGGAAAATGAATTGGGTCGTTTTGAATATTGATTTGTAATAATCAATAAAATAACGAAACAATTTACTCACGTATACGTATCAGAGGCAACTGAAAATCGTGTATGTATAAACATTCTTAATTTAAGATGACAAGCGTAACAGCATACGTGAGAGTCAAACAGAGAAACTGTAAACAAAACGACCATCGGTTTTATTGCTTCGACTTACGCTTATTATATAAAACATTGGGTTTTATTTTAATTCTTGACGGTGAAATTCACAATTGGTTGATTATAAACATGTCTATTTCACATTCGCGGAACCAAGTGAGCGCATAAAACAAATGCAGGTCTGTAATGTTAAGGTCGATGTAAATAAGCGTGCTACCCTTATGTTTCAACCGAGTTTTTCCTTTGACAAATTTTGTGTCTACCAAATTGGGTTGGTTGGGGTGTAATACTAATAATAAATGTTGCCTTTAATTTAATCAATAAAATAAATTGACGTCATTAATTTTTTTGAACCACCTCTTAAGAAAATCTAAAAAATATGAATGGAATGATAAATCACAAGTACAAACTCATCATATTTTTCGCATTTTAGATAGGATTTATTCAGCAAAATTTAAGGGTGACGTCATCAATTTTTTTAGGAGGGATGAACAAATGCATTTTGAACAAAAGTTTACCATGCTTATAATAACTTTAAAATATTCCCAAGATTTCAAAGCATTCGGTTTTGTAATTCCTGATTAAATCGTTAAAACAAATTCACGCCTTCATTAATTTTTAAAGTTTTTAAAACATCTCCAAGATTTCAAAGCATTCGGTTGTGTAATTCCTGATTAAATCAATAAAATAAATTGACGCATTCATTAATTTTTTTCGGTCACCCTGTATATGCAAATCGAAAAAAATTGAATGGAATGATAAATCACAAGAAGAGACTCACCATATTTTGTACATTTTAGGTAGGATTTATTCAGCAAAATTTTGGGGTGACGTCATAAATTTTTTAGGGGGGACGACCAAATACATTTTGATCAAAAATTTACCATGCTTAAGATAATTTTAAAATATCTTCAAGATTTCGAAGCATTCGGTTTTGTAGTTCCTGAGTAAATCAGTAAAATAAATTTACGCTTTCACTTATTTTCTTGAATCACCCTGTATATGCAAATCCAAAAAATATGAATGGAGTGATAGATCACAAGTACAGACTGATCATATTTTGTACATTTTAGATATGATTTATTCGGCAAATTTTCGAGCTGACGTCATCAAGTTTTTGGAGGGGATAAGCAAATATATTTTGACTAAACATTTATTATGCTCTTTATAACCTTAAAACATCTGCAAGATATCAGAGCATTCCGTTTTGTAGTTCCTGATTAAATCAATAAAATATATTTACGCATTCATTAATTTTTTTGAGTCACTCTGTATATGCAAACCAAAAAATATGAATGGAGTGATAAATGACAAGTACAGACTCATCATATTTTGTACATTTTAGATACGATTTAGTCGGCAAACTTTCGAGCTGACGTCATCAAGTTTTTGGAGGGGATAAGCAAATATATTTTGACTAAACATTTATTATGCTCTTTATGACCTTAAAACATCTGCAAGATTTCAGAGCATTCGGTTTTGTAGTTCCTGATTAAATCAATTAAATAAATTTACGCATTCATTAATTTTTTTGAGTCACCCTGTATATGCAAATCCAAAAAATATGAATGGAGTGATAGATCACAAGTACAGACTCATCATATTTTGTACATTTTAGATATAATTTATTCCACAAACTTTTGAGCTGACGTCATCAAGTTTTTGGAGGGGATAAGCAAATATTTTTTGACTAAAGATTTATGATGCTCTTTATAGCCTTAAAACATCTGCAACATTTCAAAGCATTCTGGTTAGCAGATTAAAAATTAAATTTCAAAATGTTGTTTTATAATTTTGATTTTTTTTCCAAAAATCTGGACGTTTCGGGTGAAAAGTCTTTTCAGAGTTGTAAACTACATGTGTAGGACTATGTTATTTTATACAATTGAAAACCCATTTACTATGTACAATTTTGATGTGACGTCATCGCATTAGTGGTGGGGATGATTAGACAAATTTTGGTTAGCGTTTTACCATCTACATGATATTCTTAATATAAGTACAAAATTTCACAACAATCGGTCGAGTACTTTCGGAGATTATCTGTCTAATAAAAATCCGGGACGGCAGACGGACAGACGGACAGACGGACGGACAGACGGACAGACGGACAGACGGACAGACGGACAGACAGACGGAAATGGGAGACCTATTTCTTCGTCTTCTAGGGGTCATGAAAGATCGAGAAATCGTAAAAGTAGAGAGTCGGCCGACGGACTCGATTACAATACTTCCTTTGCTTACGCTCGGGAAGTAATGAAGTTTCTAGTATCTCTAGGTACCAAACTCATCGTTTCAATTATCCCTTTGGAAAATATGTCCACAATAACATGCATTAGATTATAATTACTTCGTTTCAATAAAAAGTTATGACTACATTCTTGGTTACATTTGAAAGGCCTCGTTTGTACAAACTTGAAAGGTTGCAGGGAAAGAGACCCAAAATAGGTCATCGACGATGGACGAAATACAAACACTGTATTTTAAATTTAATTGATACCACAACAAAATGCGTACTTTTATATATCCCTCCATAAAATATTGAACACAGATTTAAAAAATAACGCGATTGGGAATAAAAACCCCATTATCGTTAAAAATTCCTCCGTCTTATTTCCTGTTTTCGCGGGCACTATGACACTACCTGGACTTCTGTGTCCCCGGCATTAAAGCCATCCCTGAGAGGAAGCTGGCGCCCGAGTACCGCCGCTCCCAACCTAAGGCGCCAGCTCCGGTGGTGTGAAGGGGACCTCATAGCCTAGGTCGGCCAGACGTTATTTAAAAAACTAAGTTGTGTGTTACATCTTAAAACATTAAACTTGGTATAGTTAACAATTATTTTAGAGTATAGTCCTCAAACACCGTATAATTATAACTGCATGTATGTAACTATGAATGTAATGGAATCTTTCAATTAAATTTTTACCAATTTCCAGACACTATACAATACAATGATTTCATAGTTATGATCTGATATCCTTAACGGTTTTAAAGAAAAATACCCCGAGAACTTGTTTGACCCACAGGTCGGAGCGCACTCAATGTTGACTCTAAGGGTTTAGAATTTCTTTGGGAAATAGTTATTATTTAAATGCATGCACTATTTTTTTGTTTAACTAAGCATTAATTCTTTAATTGTAAAGTGAACAATGGGATAATTGAAAAATCGAAACACTCCGATACTAGAAAGTCTCAACACTGAAATATCGAAAAATTGAAAAATAGAAGAAAAATTGGAGAATCGAAAAACTAAAAAATCACAAAATTGAAGAACTGAAGGACTGAAAAATTGAAACTTTAGAAAGTCGAGAAATGGGAAAATAAAAAAATAGATTAATTGAGAAATCGGAAAACTGCAAATTCAGAAACGTCAAAATTTGAAAAATAAAAAATCGAAAAATTGAAAAATCTAAAATTTAAATCATTGAAAAATTTAAATATCGTGAAATCGGAAAATGGAGAAATCGAAACATCAGGAAATAAAAATAATAAAAATTCGAAAATCTAAAATTTAAAATTCGAAAAACTGAAAAATCAACAACTCGAGAACTCGAAACCCCATGAAATTTAAAAAAATTGGAAAATTGGAAAATCGGATAATACAAAAATCGAAATATCGAAAAATTTAAAAATCAAAAGATCAAGAAATCGAGGAGTCGAAAAGTTGGGAAGTCGAAAAATCGAAAAATTGAGAAACCGAAATAGGCCAAAATCGAAAAGTTAAAAATGGAAAAATTGATAAATCGAGAGATAGAACAATATAAACATCGGAACATCCAAATCTCGATAAATCGAGATCTCAAAAAATTGAAAAATCGAAAATTTTACATTCGAAAAATTGAAAAATTAAAACATGGAAGAGCTGAAAATTTGAGAATTTGAAAAATCTAGAATTTTAAAAATTGAAAAATTAAAATATCGAAAAGTTGAAAATAAAATTGAAATATAAAACAGTCGAAAAATTCAAAAATCTAAAGTTTAAAACAGGAGAAACTCGAATTCCAAAAAATAAAAAATCGAAAAACCGGAACATCGAAAAATTCAAAAACTGAAACATTGAGAAATCGAAAAATCAGAGGATCGAGAAATCTAAGAGCGGCAAGCCAAGAAGGAAATTGAAAAATTGATAAATCGAGAAATTGAACAATCAAAACATGGAAACATTTGTGAAATGAAAACATTGAAATATCGAAAAATTCTAAAGAGGAAAAAATGGAAGACTCGAAAATTGAAAAATTGAAATCTAGAAGAAAAAGAAAACTCGAGAAATTGAAAAGCCAACAATTTTAAAAATTGGAAAAATAAAACATTGAAAAGTTGAAAAATTGAGAAACCGAAGTATAAAACAGTCAAAAAATTGACAAATCTAAAGTTTAATGAAAAGTTGAAAATCCAAAAAGTAAAAAATCAAGAAATAAAAAATCCAGGAGTCCAAAAACCGAAAAATCGAAAAATCGAAATATTGAAAAATCCCAAAACCAAAAGACACAAAAAAATTTGAGAAATTGAAA